GGAATCCTTTTGCATGAATGACTGCTTCAATGCGGCGTGGCATGGAGCCAATCAGCCTGTGGCACTGCTGAGGTGTTATGGAGGCCCAGGATGCTTCGATAGCGGCCTTAAGCTCATCCAGAGTGTTGGGTCTTGCGTCTATCAACTTTCTCTTCACAATATCCCACAGGTTCTCTATGGGGTTCAGGTCAGGAGAGTTGGCAGGCCAATTGAGCACAGTAATACCATGGTCAGTAAACCATTTACCAGTGGTTTTGGCACTGAAAGAGGCGACTCGACACCGACCAGCCGCATCCAATCTGCCCCGCAGTCTACCCGTCTCTGAGGAGGGACAGACTGAGCGTGGCTGCCCCAAATCTGGCTGACAGGCTGACTGCTCCGGATTGAACAAGAAGAAGACATCGCTGAAAGCACGGATCTCAAATGAGAACTGAGAAGTTGCTCAACGTCATCATAATTAATGACCAACCACTATCAGTTGTAGAAAACGGTGGATTTCTCAGCTTGATATTTGCAGTCAAGATATAGTTTACCCTCCAGGAGATATTTATCAGTACAACAGTAGACAATCATAAAAAAACATGATTTGAAAATTATATTAAAAACAAAAACAGCTACATTATAAAGTGATGTAAAATACTAAAAACAGGAAACATGTCTGTTGGTTTATGTCATGAACTTAGCAGATGTTTGAAGCCATTTAACATTTAATTTAATTCATTTATTCATTCATTTAAAAGAAACAAAATAAAATAAAAAATCATCAAAAAGAAAACATTGAATGAAAAGAGTGCAGAAAGAAGAAAAAATTCTTATATCTGCCCCTTATAAAATATAAAACAACTTTAAACAATCACTTAAATTAATCACTTTAATTTCCACTTTAAAGCTAGGAATAAAAAGAAACATGTTTTGTGTTAGCAGAATTTAATTCTAACTTTAAAACTTATCCAACATTAATAAAACTTACCTCAAGTTGCCTTTTTGGACATGCATGCATATATTTGTACAAATTGTACTTGAGAGGAGATTATTACAGCCTCATGTAAAATCAATGATGATGATGATATCGGAACTGGATCAGTATCGGCTGATACGCAGATGTAGGTATCGGGATCGGATCGGAAGTAACAAAAGTGGATCGGTGCATCCCTAATATTTTTTGTCAATCACTTCAGAAAGTGAAACTTATATATTACATAGACTCATTACACATTAATTACATTTTTCTTCTTCTTTCAGCTGCTCTCTTTTTCAGGGGTCTCCACAGTGAACTATCTTCTTCAGGGGTTTCCACAGTGAACTATCTTCTTCAGGGGTCTCCACAGTGAACTAACTCACATGAAGACTTGGTGATGGTTTTTATACTGGATGTCCTTCCTGACACAACCACAAGCCACTGAGTTACCACGGCCCTCTGTGTGGGGCGGGGGGCTGCCATCTGGGGTGCCCTGGGGGGCGAATGGTGGGAGTCGGGGGCCTTGCTCGGGCGGGGGCCGGGGGGCAGGTGTGGGTGCTTCACCATTTCCACCCTTGATGTTCAGGGAGTTGAACTGACGACCTTTTGATCACAGACCACCTTTTTTAACCTCTTCTCCAACCCCCCATTACACATACACACAGAGTGAAATATTTTAAGCCTTTATTTATTTTCATTTTGATGGTCATGGCTTAATGTTTTGCTAATTTAAGTTTTTACCAACTGTTTAGTCATTTAAACCTTTAGCTACAGTTTTACTTTTAGCTTTTAACTACTGTTTTGGCAACTTTAGCTTCTGTTTGTTTTATTTAACCTAATAATTCATTTTTCAAGAAGTGGCAGTAAAGTCATTCAGCTATAATCACTGTTTTTGTTGTTTACATAAAATGGCGTTTCTCCAGTTAAGGAGAACAGGTACAGGTAGAACAGGTACTTAGGTTAACTGTGTTTGTACCCACCAGGCCAGTCATACATAAAAACCTTCTTTCCCATCTTCTGAAGGGTGACCCAAAGAGGTTCTGATCCGTTCCACCACTGAGGTAATCGACTGTCAGGATTAGTCCCGATCAGAAACTCTTTCTCAGAGACTTCGTCCCACATGTAGTTTCCAGTCATCTGGTGGGTTTCACAGTGACGGCCTAAAACATTAAAAATGAAAACAGAAAACGTGATTTTTATTTCCTCATGAGAAATGAAAACTGTCCTAAAATGTCTGAAGGCAGGTAACAGGTAAACATTAGGATATACTATGGTCATCAACAAAACAACATGAGACAAATGCACCTACTGGTATGATTTCTAAAACACAGAGGTATAGGTAGCAGATTTATTCACAAAACCAAATGGCTGTCAAAGCAGCAAAACTGCCTACACGAGTCTCTGACAGAAAAATTCAAGCAGGAACTCAAGGAGGAACTCATGACTGGCCGAGAAAAACAATTGGACAATAAAAACACAAACTATAAGTCACATGTAAATATTGTCTGTCTTTGTTTGACTGCTGGAGGAATCTGGAGAGAAAACTGTTGTAAAATAAAATCTGTTTCTGCTTGTACAATTTCTAAAGCTTAAAGTGTGACTAGTATACTTCCTGTTTCTTATTTATGACAGCACCCACCCAACCGGACTTTGCACAATACACGTTGAGCAAGTGAATATTCTAGAAGCTAGAGTGAGTCA